TGTAATAGTATTAATTCTTCCAATTCATGAGCATGGAATATTTTTCCATTTGTTTCTGTCATCTTTGATTTTTTTTTCAGTAGTGTTTTGCAGTCTTTCTTGTAGAAATCTTTCACTTCCTTGGCTAGATGTATTGCTAGGTATTTTATTTTTTTGTTGACTATTGTAAATGAGGTTGCAGTCTTGATTTGTCTCTTAGCTTTAATGTTATTGTTATACAGAAATACTACTGACTTTTGTACATTGATTTTATATCTTGAAATTTTACTGCAGTTGTCTACTATCAGTTACAGGAGCCTCTTGGTGGAATCTTTAGGATCTTCTAGATATAGAATCATATGGTCAGTTAAGAGAAATGACTTGACTTCTTATTTTACTATTTTGAAGTCTTCTCTTTTCTCTTATTGACTAATTTCTCTGGCTAGGACTTTGAGTACTATGTGGAATAGGAGTGGTGAGAGTGAGCATCCTTGTCTGGTTTCAGTTCTCAAGGGAAATGTTCCAGCCTTTGCTGGTTCATTGTGATGTTGGCTGTGTGTTTGTCATAGGTGATTGTTACTATTTTGAAGTATGTTCTTTTAATGGCTAGTTTGTACAGGGATTTTATCATGAAGGAATGCTGGATTTTTTTTTTTTGAAGGCCTTATCCACTTCTGTTGATATGATCATATGGTTTTTGTTCTTAATTCTGTTTTTATGCTGAATTGTATTTATTGATTTGCATATGTTGAACCAACCTCTCATTCCAGGAATGAAGCCTTCTTGGTTGTGGTTAATTAATTTTTAAATGTATTGTGGGATTCAGCTTGAAAGTATACTGTTGAGAATTTTTGCATCTATGTACATTCGGAATATTGGCCTATAGTTTTCTTTTTTCACTGTGTCTTTCCCATGTTTTTGGTATCATAATTATGCTGGCTTCATTGAATGAGTTAGAGAGAAGTTCCTCCGCCCAGTTTTTTGGGAATAGTTACAGTAGAATTGGTACCAGCTCTTCTTTGCTGGTCTAGTAGAATTTGGCTCTGAGTCCATCTGCTCTGGGGCTTGGTTTGGTTGGTAAATTTGTTACTACTGATTCAATTTCAGAATTTGATATTGTTCTGTTCAGAATTTCAATTTCTTGCTGATTAAATGTTGGAAGGTTATGTGTTTCTAGGAATTTATCAATTTCCTCTAGATTTTCTAGTTTGTGAGCTTCAAAGTGTTTGTAATAGTCTCTGAGGATTTTTGTATTTCTATGGGATCAGCTGTAACATCACCTTTGTTGTTGTTGTTATGTTTTGTTTTGAGATAGAGTCTTACTGCAGTGCCCAGGCTGGAGTGCAATGGCAAGATCTTCGGCTCACTGCAACTTCCTCCTCCCAAGTTCAAGCGATTCTCCTGCCTCAGCCTCTTGAGTAGCTAGGATTACAGGCACACACCATCATGCCCAACTAATTTTTGTTATTTTTAGTAGAGACAGGGTTTTACCATGTTTGCCAGGCTGGTCTTGAACTCCTGACTTTGGGTGAACTGCCCGCCTCAGCCTCCCAAAGTGTTGAGATTGCAGGCATAAACCACCATGCCTGGCCCCTTTGTTGTTACTCATTGTACTTATTTAGCTCTTCTCCCTTTTTGTCTTTGTTTATGTAGCTAATGGTTTAGTGATCTTGGTGATCTTTTCAAATAACCAACTTTTGGGTTTGTTTATTGTTTTTATGGATTTTTTAAAATCTCAGTTTCATTCAGTTACACTCAGATTTTAGTTATTTATTCTGCTAGCTTTGAAGTTAATTGATTTTTGTTCTTCTAATTCCTCTAGGTGTGATATTAGATTGATAACTGGTGATCTTTCTAAATTTCTGAGGTATGCATTTAGCACTAATAGCTAATTTTTAAGAGCTTAAATTCTCTTCCCAGATGTGAGTTTTTAAAATTCTTAATGGAAAAGAAGCATCTCTATTTTAATTCCTACCAAACCTGGAGAGTAATCTTGGAGTTTTAAAATCCTTGAGATATTTTATATATTCAATTATATTGTATATTACTATAGAAAAACTATTTACCCTATGTTACATATAATATAGAGTATATGACTATGTACCCATATTTATAAAGTGTCATTTCTTGAATGCACTAAAAATGTAGGAAATCTAAAAAAGGGATTTATAAGCTCTGCTGAGCACCAGTGTCCCCAAGACATTTCTAAGAATGCCAATTGCTCTGTGTGTGTGTGTGTGTGTGTGTTTAGTGAGAAAGAGAAAGAGACAGTCCTCAGTTCTTAGATACAACCTAATCATAGACATTCACAGACATGCATTTAGGAGCTGCTCTTCAAGGACACATACTTAAGTGAAACAGAAACAAATCCATATTTCATTTTAGATATATGTTGCTATTTAGAAAAAAAACAATTAAATGTGATACTTCTAAAATAAATTTATTTATAGTTAAACATACATGTGTAAGACAGGATTTTTAAATGTATTATTAACTAACATAGACTGTCTTTATACAGCATAGAATCTTTATTTTTCTTTTTTACTTGGATGAATGAAATTGAAAAATGAAAATGAAGTAAATGCAATCTCAATAGCAATTGGCTCCTATATCTTTCTTTCTGTGTCCTTTCCCTTTCTGCTTTTCTCACTTGTCCTCCAAATGAAGATTATAGTGTGCTAGAAACAGGTGATGTCGATAGATCAATTGGGGATAAAATACTGATTTTTTTTGTTCCAACTCCAATAAAATATCATTGATATTATAGCCTATGTGTTTTTATTATGATTATTGTGTTCCTGGGTCTCTTTATCCTTACCAAAAATTATTGCTACATTTCAAATTCATAATGATCAGTCACAATAATAATAAAAAAACTGATAAAAATAATAAAATTACGGGTTTCAGCTCCCAAGACTGTTTTAGGAAGATACCTTTGCTAATCCAAACAAAGCTTTGGATGATTCATCACTGATCATAACCAAACACTTCCTGTTATTATACTTGTTGGATAAGTAAATGAGAGACTATGTAGATTTCAGTACCAGCTAAGTGAATGTTGTGTTTTGCATGTTACTCATAATTTCTCCCATCTGTGGAAAAATGAATTTTTTCCTATACTGTATAGTAATAATGTTTTCTCTTTATCATAAACATGGTTTTACAATTAATAAGCTGGTATAGACCTCCTATCAGTATTTCAGAGCTATAGTGTAGCAGAGGGCTGTTATTTAATTGACTATATTGTCATTAAAAAAAAAAAAGATCAGTAAGAAAAGAAACTGTTCTAATAGGCAAAATATAGAAAGAAGATAGTCTCAAACAAATATGGTGATTGTCCTTCGATACTCTACACATAAGAAAGGAAAGATGCTCCCATCAAAAGCTAAGTAAATCAAGTACCTCTTCTTAGAATTGGTTCTCCCTGTTTTTAAACAGTTGAATTAGGCTATCTAGTAATGTTAACAAGCATTACAATCACACAATCTACTGCCTCATTTTAATTTTCACATCTACCAAGCAACTATGTTGTGGCTTACCATTTAGTTTGTATACAGGGAAATAATGCATTGCTGTAGACAGTTTTCTTAGCATATTTTTTGTATATTGTATTTTATGTATTTATTTTCAGTCTGTTGAGCAGTTATGTAAATCAAGGTAATAGAACAAATCTCAGCAAGTTGACACATCACACTGTGAACTGAGAAGGTTAAGTGTCTTCATGATACCAATGATTCTTATCTTGATCGGAAACTTTGAGATTTTGATTCAACTGAAGTAAAAACAATGAGAATTTTTATAGCAAGCCCCCCAGATATTTGTGCTACAAGTTGTCTGAAGCCACCTTTGAGAAACTCTTCTAGTTATAACCTAAAATAAAGCTTTCTCGGGGGATATTCAGCCAGCCTTCCTTGGATGAAACTATAGTTGCTTCCATTTCCAATCTTTCAAAACACCCACTCAATATTATGTTGGTGAACTGAGTTTCTGAATGATATTTATAGTGTTATAATGTGTCTTAGGAAAATATGTTTATAACTACAATATAAAAGGGAATCATTGATTTTTCTACTTGTCATAATCAAAAACATTGAATTTCTTTTCTACCTCCAACATGTTTCGGAAGATTGTGAAGAATGAATAATGAATATGGATGATCTAAATGAATATAAAAAGTGTCAAATGCTCCATCTTTTGACTAAATAGTAATTTTAGAAACATTTATTTTATATAAATATTTTTATTTTAATGTTGTATATACCTGTTATTTTGTAAGTTATATAATTTAATGTGGGTGTCTATGTGTGGGTGTGTAAATATATGCTGCAACTATATCTATCTGGTTGCAGTATTTGTCTTCCGATGAGCAGATTTGACTCAGTGATTTGGAGACTGGATATGTATACCATTCATGTACCGCTTCATGAAAAATACCACAGAAATTCTAAGGATAAGACTTCCTAGACATAAGAGGTTCAAGAATGTATGAGTAACCATAAAATTATATAAAACAAAATTTAATACGATTATTAAGGATGAAAGATAGGGTGTTTCACATGAAATTGTATGCAGATAGAGCTGTGTTCTAAATTATAATGCTAGCAAATAGCAGTGGGATAAAAGTGAGAATTGCCCTGATTTAAAAGAGTTCTGGTAATTCTATAAAACTGTGGAGGTATCTTGTTCTTTCTGGGACTCATTGTTCTCTTCTGTTAACAGGCAAAGTTTAGGTACATGATTTCTCAAGAGCCATTGTAGCTCAGATAGGCCATGAACCTTTGATCAGCTTGTATTATGTTTTGTTTTTCTAAGCAGTATTGAAATGCATATCTTAGTTTAATCCTGAATTAGGAAATCTATCTGTATCCATTATGCCTTTGTTTTAGTTTGGGCTGTAGATAATTAAAAAATTAAAGATTGACACATGATTGTTCTAAAGTCACATATTATTAACACAAATGAAAATGAAAATGAAGAAAAAGAATCTCATTAACTATGTTTATTTCCATCTGTGTTCACAGGAAGTTCAACACAATTGCCAGCTTCATAGAATATCTTTTTGTGCAGATGATAAAACTGATAAGAGGATATTCACTTTCATATGCAAAGATTCTGAGTCAAATAAACATTTGTGTTATGTATTTGACAGTGAAAAGTGTGTAAGTATGCCAGATGTTTTAGGGTGGTCTGTTCTGTTTTACAAACCAGGAATTGCCTTGTTTTTGGAATTAGTAAAGTATTTGAAAATGAATAAGGTCTGTAAATACTTAGCTGTACTAATAGATTTATTTCATCATGAGAATATGCTTGAGGATTTCATCCTTAACTAAGTTCTCATGTTCATGAGCATAAACTTACATGTACATTTCTTTTATTAGACTGTCATGCCAGCGTATGTTATGCATTTATTTTATTTTATAATAATTTACTCTATTTTATAATTTTAATCTCAAATATGATTTAGTATTATGCACATAATACAAAGAATAATGGTGAGCAAAAGTGTGTTTCCCCCACACCTGCAGAATCTGATGGATTTTATAAAAACAAATATTCTTAACTCTAAGAAATACAATCTGTATGGCTCCTTAAAAAGATTTTCCAATACATTGAAAATTTAGTTTCTTATGTTCATTATATAAAAATCTTAATATAATGAAAGTTAATGAAATTGTGTGTATGAAACTCTATGGCAGCAGTTCTTTAATCATCTGTAACCTTAAGGAAAACCCATTGATGGCTGCAAAGAAGAAAAAAAATGTAACCTCAACAATGTTATTGGTTTAGATAGGAAATAAAACAAGTATCTATTTGCTAATTTTTCTGCTGTCAAAAATAACAGATAGCTAATATTGCTATCACTTTTATGTCATTTATTTACCAAGTTTTAATATTGAGCATCTGAAGAACAAATACCTTTTTATTCGTTCATGTGACTCCTACATACACGTGCTCAATGAAACATTCCTTAGAAAACTATCATGTTGAAAACTTACCAAAAATAGAGCAAGTTATTATTTTTATTTTTTGAAGTGTAGTTCTCTAGAAAGGAAAGCTAATGTGCTAAACTACTAGGCATCATAATACCTTTTGTGAATTTGGTGAACATTATGGAACATTTCATCAGAAAAAGATACTTACCAATATAAGACAATTATTTTGTGCACAATTAGACATTTTATATAGTTCAAATTGGTTTTGAATTTTATTTTATATGAACTTCTGTTGAATTAATAAATAATATTTACATATTTCAAGTGCTTTTAACCATGATTGCTTGCAGATTCTTTTCTCTATGATTGAGAAGATTAAAGTTGATATTTGTTGAATATCTTCTATACATAATTTATAACAATCTTTCACCACCTACACCAAGCAGTAAACTCAGTTATTCTTCTTTCCTGCCTTACCCATAGAAATACATTTCCTTGAGGTCCTTTGAAATGTTTCAGAGTCAGAGTTCATTATAAATATTAGCCTTCTTATAGATTTGTGCCACTTGTTTTATATTCTTTGACCCCTATCCAAATTTGCTAAATTAATATTTAAAATATAACCTTGCCAACTTAAAAGCATAGACCCGCCTTTCTTCCTTATCATAACTGTCTGTAATTGATTATCAGAATTTTAATTTCTTTGACTCATTGTTCTCTTTGGATATAGCATATCAGCTCTATTTTCTGTTAAAGATTGAAAATAATTTCTTGAAGCCTGAGCACAGATTCACAATAATTAATGTGCATAAAAATTATAAGGGATGCCTTTTAAAAGTTCTTATCAATTGGGGCTGGAACTCAGGAAATCTACATTTATCAAGTATACCAGTGATTCTGCTGCAGGTAGAGGAAGTCCTGACTCAAAACTTGCCAGATTCTCTCCAACTATAAGTTAATATCACCTTTATGAGCTGAAAAGGGACATGTTTCCTTAGAATTTTATTATACCTGCATTATCTTCACTATGAACTTTTATCAGTGCTAATTATAATGATGACTATATTTAACAAAACTCATGTTATATGTATGTAGAATTTTTGATATGCCATCTCATGTAATTATCATTTTAAATAGTTTATCATAGAGTGCTAAAATGGGACATAAGTTATAGCCTATCTTATACAACTCTCCTCCTATTTTAAAAAACCAAGACCAGAGATGTTGAAGTGAGTGTCCCAAAGTTACAAAACTAAGAAGTAAGTAGAATCAGGACTAAAATCTAAGACTCTTAATTCTCATTGCTGCAGTTATCTAATCTTGTTATGTTACTCCCATAACTGTGGCCTCCTCTAGAGTTCATCTGCTCTTATTGAGGCCTTTACTCTATTTGTTAATTATATTTTATCTTTTTAGTATTTCTTTGAAATTGTTGAGAATCTGAAAGATGACACCTTAGTATGGCATGTGACTGGAATTCACTACTTTATTAACAGTGTCATGTTGTATTAATAGTCCTCCTTCTTCCATGGTGGCAATGAGGCCCATATGAGGAGTCAGAACATTCAACCATGTCAAATTAGAATGCTGAATCCCTATAATTACCAGGCAATAAAGAGATAGTGCATTTCCACCCTCACTGTCCTATTGGAATTGCATCAGATGAAGCCACATAAAGCAGAAAATTTAAATGATATCCAGTATTTCATCAAATTAAAATCACTTTTCATACTAAGAAACAGGTTTCTTAAACTAAAAAAGAAATGACAGTCAGTAGTTACCAACACACAGATGTCAGAGATATTAGAATTACAGGACAAAGATTTTAGAACACTCATCAAATAACATAATAAAATGAGCAGTTACAAACACACATGATACAGATGAGAAAGTAAGAAAGTCTTCTCAGCGAAACAGAAAATCTAAGCAAAGAAATGGAAGGTATAAAGAATACTGAAAAATGAAATAATCACATAAAAAACACAATGTATGGGCTCAACAGCAGAAGAGAGAGAACAGAAGAAAGGAATCAGTGACCTGGAAGACTGACAAATAGAAAATGCCTAATCTGAACCACACAAAGATTGTAAACTCAATAAACAAACAAAAACGAAGCCAAAACAGAACCTCATTGACTGTGGGGCCGTAAAAAATATCTAACATATGTGTGTCATCTGAGTGCTAGAAAAAGAGAAATAAGCACCCTTAAAAAACACTGAAAGAATATTAGTTGAAAACTTTTCCCACTTGGCAAAGGACAACAACTTATAGATTTAAAATATTGAGTAACTTCCAAACAGGATTAATCCAAATAACTTCACATCAAGACACATCATATTCAACCTTGTGAAAATTAAAGACAAAAGAAAAATCTTGAAAGCAACAAGAGATAAGCAAGTCTTTACCTATAGCAGAGAATGTGAATGGCAGTGTATTTCTCATCAGAAACCATGAAGGCAAGAAGGAAGTAGCATAATACTTTTTGAGTATTGAAAAAAAAAAACCTTTCAAACAATCCTATATCCATAAAAATATTATTCAGAAATTTGAAAGAAGTATTTAAAAATTATTAGATGAATGAAAATTAAGATAGTTTGCCACTACTAGACATCCTAAATGAATGGCTAAAGGAAGTTCTCTAAACAGAAAGAAAACAATACAAAAAGGGGACTTGGAGCATAAGGAAGGAAAAAAGAACAAAATTAGCAAACATATGAGTAAATCCTTAGTTTTTCTGAATTATGTTTGATGGTAAAAGAAAAAAATACTTTCTGATGTGATTTTAAATATGACTATATATGTATATGGATATATGAAATATATAAGGCAATTATATTAAACTAGGAAAGTTAAGAGGATGTAAAGGGAGGTGAGGTTTCTACACCTCACACGGACTGGAAAAATAACAGCACTAGGTAATTATGATAAGTTATATAGGTAAAATGTAAATCCTGGAACAACCACTGACATGTTATATACTGAGATACACTTAAAAACACTATAGAGAAATTAAAATCTTCTCATTTTAAAAGCCATAGAAATGCAATGAAAAGAAAACAGAGAAAGGAAAAAGATAAGTAACGGAAAAGAAGATTAAATAATGTACTTAAGCCCTAACATATCAAACATCACGTTAAATGTAAATGGTCTAACTACATCAATTAAAATATGTTGTTAGGGTGGGTTACAAAACATAATCCAGATACATACTGCCTACTAGAACTTTACTGCAAACATTATATATAGATAATATAGGCAGGCTGCAAATGAAAGAATGAAAAGATATTTTTTATGCAAACATTATTCAACAAAAGCAGTAGTATGTATGTTTACATCAGATAAAGTAGACATCAGCGCAAAGAAAATTACCAGAGTTAGAGGGGGGCATATAGTGATAAAAGGGAACAGCCCCCAAGAAGATATGGTAATCCTGACTGAGTATTAGCAAAAATTAGAGCTGCAGAATGAGAAACAAAAACAGAAAGAACTAAAAGTCTAAATAGACAAATACACAATATCGTCAGAAAGTTTACGGGCACTTTCCCCAAAATTTATAGAATAACTAGAAAGTCATCAAGGATATAGAATAACAACATCATCAACCACTGGGATCTAATGAGCAGTTACAGAGAACTTCACCCAGCAACAACAGAATGTTCGTTATTTTCAAGTGCTTGAGAAACATGTACCAAATTAAGTCACACCCTGGGCTACAAAATAAATCTTGAAAATTTAAAATAATTAAAATTACTTAATGCTTCTCTAACTACACGGAAATCAATCTAAAGATCAGTAACAGAAAGCCAGAAAATCTTTAAAGGCTAGGAAGTGAAACATCATATTTATAAACATTCCATACATCAAATAGCAATTCATAAATGAATTTTTAATTTAGTGACTTGAATAAAAATGAAATAGAGCATATCAACATTTGCGTAGTATAACTAAAGCAGTGCTAAGAAGAAAATTTGCAACAACTAATTTAATACGTTAGAGAACAAGAAAGCCTCAAATAAATAATCTATGCTCCCATGTCAAATACATACAAAAATGAAAATATCAAAGTGAAACTCAAAGTAAACAGAAGGAAGGTAAGATTAATAAGAGAAGAAACTGGTAAAACTGAAATTACAGAAAATCAATAAAGAAAAAACCTGATTCTCAAAAGATTATAAAAGTCGCAAAATTCTATTAAATTTGGCAAATAACAAAAGAGAGGGAGAAGA